AAGGAGAAGGAGAAGGAGGAGAGGACAGGACGATGACGAGGACGAGAGGACGAGGACGAGGAGGATGGATGAGGAGGAGGACGTGGGAGCCACCTGCCACGTGCCACGCTGCAAATCACGGGGCAAGCTCCGCACCGCACCACGCGCGACGATTGCAAGTCACGGGGCAAGCTGAGCACCGCAAATCACCGCACGAATGTGCGCAGCGACTGCCGCACGGCGCACAGGACGGAGGACGAGGGGACGAGGAGGACAAGGAAGAACAGCTAGGCCCTAGGCCAGTAGGGCGTCGCACAAAGCAAGGACCTCGAGAGCTGCGCGCAGCCCTAGAAGGGCCCGATAGCGCCCCCATGTGAGCCCGGGGGGGCCCGCGCAGTTCTTCTCTGCTTCTCCTTGCGGTCCAATTGTTTCGGGGTGCTCTGGGGAGCCTCTTCGGCGTCCCATTGGCCCATGAGCCCCAATGTCCCAGGGGGTGTACCTTCCAAGATGGCCCCTGGGGCCACATGGGGTCGGCGTCTGATTCGGGGCCCTCCGGGGCTTCCTGGGCCCCCGGGCCCCACCAAGACGAAACGGCGGGCTCCGAGAGAGCCCCGATGGGGGACGCGTGATTGCCTCAGGATCGGTGCCCGTTTGGGAGATCTCCAAACGTCAGCACGCGACAAATTGTCGCGTGCTGACGTTTGGACATTTCCCGCCCAGCAGGTGAACAGCTTGGGTGTGTTCACAGTGTCCTGCATGGACATGATCGTGAACGTCTTCGCCCACGTGAACGACACATGTGAGATGCCGACGCCGTTCGACAGTCTGTGCAAGGCTGGCGCGACTGACTTGGTGAAGTTGTTGCACTTCCGCGGCGAGCTCACGATTTGCCTGATGAAGGACGCCATCGTTTCGAAGCCCATCGTGGAGTTCGCAGCCAACGCCGACCACGATGCGGCGGCCATCCACGCCTCGACTGTGCACGGGTTTCTGGCTAAGCTGTCGGACAAAGACACAGCAGAAGTTTGCGGAGCCGATGCGCTTCAGAGGGGCCCGAGCGAGTGGACTGCCTTCTGGGATGTGCTTTTGAAGGGCGGAGTCGGGGGAGGTAAGATCTCGTCGCTGTTGGGCTTGGCCCCGAACACCAGGAAGTTGAAGCGGGAGGGGAGCATCCGGGAGAGCCCCGGCCACGCGGCGCATGCGGTTGCGACTGCTGCCGCTGGAGCCGCGGCGCAGGACGGCACCGCCTGTATGATCACGCTCGCGGACGTCTACGGCAGCGCCATGCCAGTTGACGCTCTCTCGGCAGGCCATCCACTGGCCGCGAAGATGACCGCCCCAGCCCTGAAGCTCCTGGAGTCGCAGCTCACCATGCAAGTGTGGAAGCTGCACAACATGTCCCTGCAGCTCGATTGCCAGGAGCGTTCGCCCGCCGCCTCGATGATGCTGGATGTGTCTGGCCAGAAGCAGCCCAAGACTGCGTGCTTGCAGAGTGCGGATTGCGATTTCCTGTTCGCCGCCCCCGTGACATTCGTGAGGGGCAGGTCCAACCACATGCCGCTCTGTACCATGTTCCAGGGCAACATCGAGTTCTTCTTGAATGGCAGCTCGGTGAACTCGCACACGAGCGACATGATCGTGCCCGCCTGGGGGGTCACTGTGGTTGAGAAGGCTGCGGAGGCCAACGTCCAGGTGCTGTACATCGTCCAGACGGCCTTCCTGGCCCCGAACCTCAACATCATTTTCTGCGACATGGATATCCTCGCCCAGTCAGACTTCGAGAATCCCGGCGACGACCAGGAGCAGCAGTCGCAGAAGAAGAAGAAGGTTGAGCAGCCGCAGCCGCCCGTCAAGAAGCAGAAGGCCGCGGGGCTCGAGCCCCCCGCCGCTTTGGCGGCAGAGGTGGAGCCAGGGCCCAACGTTGCCGATGCGGATCACAAGCTCATCGCAAGCTTGGCTGGAGCCACCGCGCCGCCGCCAAGTCACGAGGAGCAGGTCGGCCACTACGAGTTCAAGATTTGCATCCCCTTCGTGAGGCACGCTGCCAAGACAGGCCCTGCCCCGGGCGCGGCGCCCGGGCCGGCCCTCGGGCTGAGGCGCGCGGCCACGCCCGACGAGGTCGAGGCGAAGCGCCGCTTGCGCGCCGCAGCGGCCGCTGCTTCTCAGCCCGGGATGGGCGACGCTGCGGCGTGCGGCAGCACTACAGGCTCGGTGATCGCGGCTGCCCGCGGGAAGCTGAGCACCGCGTCGGCCCCGTCCAAGGACGACGGGACCACGAAGGCGTTCAAGGCGACGTGCAAGCACCTGACTAAGTGATGCTGCACAGAGCACACAGAGCACGTCGCCGAGCCTAGGGGCCGACATGACTTTGCATCGCTCGGACGTGTGCATTTTTTCTTGGCGAGAACCATCGAAGACCATCCTGGGCCATCGAGAAAATATGAACGAAACCGAACAATGCACGGGACATGGACGTCCGAGCGACGGCAAGAGCATCATTCGACCTGGGCCGCTGGGCAGCTGGCGGTGTAACCTTCTCATGCGGCGCCATCGTTTTTTTGGCGGCGACAGCTCGCTCAGCTCGCTCTGACAAGTCCCCTGCGCGGGCCAGCTGCTCGGTCAAGAGTCAAGGGCCAAAGCGGTGCCCTGGATGGTCGGGCCGAAGACGCCCATGAGAAGGGTGATGCTGATAATGATGACGATGATGACGATGATTCGATGATGATGACGATGATTGCGATGCTGATGATGGTGGTGATGATGTTGATGTTGATCGTGATGATGGTATGGGAATGGTATGAGAGCGACGATGATTAGGATGGCGATGATGGTGATGGTCAGTGGTGATGATGATAAGGGGGGGTACGAGCAGGAGGAGGAGTGAGGAGGATAACGAGGATTATGATGAGGTGGAGGGTGAGTGAGACTACGACAGCTGCGACCATGGGGCAATGCTCTCGGACAATGCTCTCGCACTCGTGCGCGCGCTGTCAGGTGGCATCGCCCGCTCGTGATCTCATGAATTCACGTTGCCAAGCTCTGGCGGCTCTGGCCACATCGTCGAGGACTGCAGTCCAGGACCCGCTTCGCCTCTCGCGCGCCGCCGCGCTTTTCCAATGCTTGACGCTTCGCGTATCTCCACCAGCCCTTCCAGAAACGATGCCCAGGCGAGTTGCCTCACAGAGTCTCCCCGGGTCTCCCCCAGGTGTCTCTTGCGAAGCTTGTTGGATGCCTCTTGGAGCGTCTCGGGGGCCTCTTGGCGCTCCCGGGGGGCCTCTTGGAACGTCTTGGGGTCTTGGGTGTTACGTGGGGGTTCTTGGGGCCTGTTGGGGGTGTCCTCGGAGCCTCTTGGAAACCTCTTGAGCCTCTTGGGCGCCTCATGGGGCCATCTAGGCGCCTCTTGGGGCGCTCTTGGAGCGCTCTTGGGCGCTCTCGGGCCTCTCCTGGGTATCTCTCGGGTCCTTCTCGGGCTATCTTGGAACCGTCCTGCGGCCTCGGAAGGCAATCTGAAGCGAACATGCGAGAAATCAAAACGCATTATCTGCCTCCCTTGGCGTTCGAATGGCGTTGGCGGCCTCCTGGGGCGTTTATGCGGCCACTTGGAGCCGTCTTGGAGCGGTCTTGAGGCCTCTTGGGGTATTGGGTCATCTTAAATGTCATTATGGGCTCTTCTTGGACATGCAAAAGGGGGCTGGACGAGGGGCCGCCCGAAGGTCTCTATCCCAAGACCACCTGCGCCCAGAGGGCTGGTGGGATTATGATCGCCCGCTCCCCTTCACCTCCTCCACCCCCTCTTGTTTCCCCTCCTCCTCCCTTGTCCTCCTCGTCTTCCTGCATCCTCCCCCTCAGACCGCCCCTCCTCGCTCCTCCTCCTCCTCCCTCCTCCTCCTCCTCCTCCTCCGTCCTCCTCCCCTCCCCCCCTTCCTCCTCATCTTCGCCTCCTCCTTCTTTTTCAGATATGGGATTTCCACATCCTCTCCCCAGGACACCTCCCCTTTCCCTCCCCCTCCTCTTTTCGTCCCCCTCCAACCTCCTCTTTTTCTTTTCCTCCTCCTCCTCCTCCCCCTCCTCCTCCTCCCTCCCCCCCCTCATCACCGCGTCCGCCTCCGCCTCCGCCTCGCTTCCAGTTGCCAGAGCAGAGCGCTGCATGTTTCGGGCGCTCTGCGCCAACCAGGTCGCTGGCCCCTCCGGGCCCCTCCGTAGAGGGCCGGGGAATCACACGAGGAAAGAAGGGATTGGGATGGCGGTGTCGGGGAGGAGTTAAGACGGGAGAGCGACAGCGATACATATATATGTATATATAGAGAGAGAGGGAGGGAAGGGGGGGGTCGCAGGAGGCAAAGAGTCGGCGTCCTGGTCGGCCAAGCGCCCACGACCGCGCTATGACGCGGACGCGGACGGGACGTTCGCCGGCCATCTCAGTATAGAGAAAATCACCTACCTACCTCCTCCTCTCCTCTCCTCCTCCCCGCCCCCTTCCTCCCTCCCTCCCTTCCTCCACCCTCCACCTCCTCCTCCTCTCCTCCTCCTGCTCCTGCTCCTCCTCCTCCTCCTCCTCCTCCTCCTCCTTCCTTTCCCCTTCTTCCCCTGGGGGAGCGGGGGCGGCGAGCGGCCTCGCGCCCGCGCGCGCGAGGACTGAGGCAGCCCGGCTGCCCCGCTGGCCCCGCGGCCGCGGGCCGGAGCCAGCGGCCGCGGCGACATCCAGACCCCGCCCCGGCTCGCGCGAAGCGAGGAAGGGAAGAGCAGCGACGGCGGGAGGCGAAAGGAGGTATAATACGGAGGAGGACTGAGGACCGAGGAGGGTCAAACGGATATATAATGATGCTGGTGTGGAGGAGGGCGAGGTAGAGGAGGAGGAGGAAAAGGAGGGCGAGGAGGAGGGATGCCACGAGGCTGCAGCTCTTCTGTCATCATTTTCTTGCGTTTTCTTCTCCGCTTTCTCCCTCGCCCTCCTTGGGTCCTCCTTTCCTCCTCCCCCACCCCCCTGGCTGCCCCCCAAGCCCCCTCCTTTCCTCCTCCCCCAGCTACTTATCGTGGGGAGGTCGATGTTGGCGGCCCCCCTTCGGGCCCCTCCCACGGGCGGCGTCACTCCACAGCAAGTTTTGGATATATCGAAGCGATCTCCATCGTCGATGCTTCGAGTCTCAGCGCCGAAACATGGGAGCTATCACCGCCGCTGGTTTGCGGATGGGTGCCCCTGCAATCTGTGCGCTTGCCTCCTGTGCGTCGCCGCGTTGGTCGTCGCGGTGCTGGTCGCTGTCGCCTCGTCCTCGGGCAGCTTGAGCAGCTGGCCAGGGCCATCAGACTGCCTCTCGCTAACCTCTGGCGGCGAGCGAGGGGGGGGGGGGGAGCAGGAGAAGGCCTTCTCAGGAGGTTCGGAAGTCCCCCGGCCTTTTGAGAAGTTCTATAAGCTCCCGAATACCAAAAAAAACATCTCAGAAGGCGCGAGGGCTGCGTGGTTTGCGTCGTGTACGAGGTCGGCGTGGGCCGAGCCTGGGGTTATACCCAGGTTCGCCCTACGCTGAGGCAAAGGATCCCGAGGGGTCCCCGCGGTAGAATCCAATGCATGACCCTTTCGGATCGAGTCTAGCCTCCTCCTCCTCCTCCTCCTCTTTCTCCTTCGTCCTCCTTCTGAGAGTGCCTTCTCCTTCTCACTTCCCCCCCTCGCTCGCCGCCGAGCCTCCCAGCCCGCCGGGCGCTCCCCTCTGCGGCGGGGGAGGAGCCGTGCCCAGCCTGGGCGGCCCCGGCGCGGCGGTCTCGAGGCCTGCTCCGGCGCCCGGGCCCGCGGAGGCCCGGACGGAGCCGCAGCGTGACACTTCCGTGGATGCTGTCATCGCGCTGGCCGCGTACAGCAAGCCCGTGAGCTCGTTCGACCTCGCCTTCGTGAACACGCTGCGCGGCGTGGGCTTCCGCGGGAAAGTATTGCGAAGGCCTTACGGCCGTTGCCGCCGACCCTGAAGATGACGAAAGACAACACGAGGGGGGGGGCAGGAGGAGGAGGAGGAGGAGGAGGAGGAGGAGGAGGCGGAAGGGAGTAGGAGGAGGAAGGGTGAAGGGGGAGGAGGAGGAGGCCTTATGGATGTTGGTTGGGATCTCGTGGTTGACCTCTCGGGGGCGTCTGGAAGGCAACTTGAAGCCTCTTGGGGGCCGTTGTGGGGCCTCTTGGGGCCTCTTTTGGGCCTCTTGGGGCTTCCGGAGGCCGTCTTCGGCGCATCTTGGGGGCGTCTTGGCGCCGCTCGGGGGCCTCTTGGGGCCTTTTGGGGGCCTCTTGGGGCTTCCCGGGGGCCTCTTAGGGCGGAAGTCTCGAATTCTCGGTTCCTCGTCCCCCTCTTGGCCGTTTCTTGGGCCCGTCTTGGGGCCCTATTGGGCCGTCTTGGGCGCCTCTTAGGCTGTCCTGGGGCCTTCTTGGGCCGTCTTGGGGCCCTCTTGTAGGCCTCTTGGGGCGCTCTTGGGGGCCTCTTGGGGGCCTCTTGGGCCGTCTTGGAGTGTCGGAAAGCCGAAAAGGCGAGAAGGCCAAAATCATTCAAAAACCGATGTAAAATTGACGATTTTGGCGCCTGGGGCCCTCTTGGGTGTGCTCTTGGGGCTCTCTTGGAGCGTCTTGAGGGCCTCTTGGGCCGTCTTCGGGCCGTCTTGGGCGTCTTGGGGCCATCGTTCGTCGAGTCGAGGCCCTCTTGTACCCTTTTGGGGGTGTCTTCTGTCGCTCTTGGCTCGTCTTGAAGCTTTTCTGAGCTCCGGGACCCCCCGGGGAGGATGCGTATCTGGGCGGCGACCCCCCCGGGGAACCCCCCGGCGACCCCCCCCGGCGACCCCCCCCCCCCCCCGGCGGGGAGGGTAGGGAGGGGCTTCGCCACGACTCAACTACGACGTTGCTCAATGTCGCTTTGGCTCGCGCGCTCAAGGAGACGGGGAACGACGAAGACGACGAGGGACAACGGAGACGGAGACGACGAGGACACGACAGAGACGACGACGACGACGACGACGACGACGACGACGGTGATCCACGCAAGACGACGACACCGGGATGCGTCTTCCACACGCCGACAGGGTCGGCGGATTTCTGGGGATCTGGGAGGGCACGGAGGACCCGGACGGTTACCTGGCCAAAGCCGAGGTCACCCCGATGTATTTGGTCCGAGCGCCTTGCCAGCTGCGCTACGAACTTGCAGCAGGTGCCAGCAATCATGAATTCCGAAACGTCTGCACGGTGGATTTCCCGCATCTGACGTTGGAGTGGACTCGCTTCCTCTATGCCCGCATGTGGCTTGAGCAGTGTTCCACATGCACTGGGTGGGCACTACATGCCGATTACGAAGACGTCAATTTCCAGAGGAATCCTTTCGACGTCCTGCCAGACCATGGCCAGGTGCCCTCGGACACCGTCTTCCTCACCGAGGAGATGCAGCCGCGCGTCGACGCGGAGGGCGGGCAGCGAGGAGCGACCACGAGCCACTGGTTCGTCCACGACGCCGTCAGGAGGTGCTACGGCCAGGAGGCAGCGGACAAGGTTGCCAACCACCCGATGCTCAACGCCGCGACCACCCTCGGTCCGCGCGCGGGCATGCTAAGGTGGCTAGGACGGATGAGTGAGGAGTTTGAGAAGCTCTCGACCAGGGCCGAGTGCGACCCTAATATGATATCTCGCCAGGCCGTCCTCAACTATTTGGTATACGTCCAGGATGCCATGCCCTGGGCCATGCCAAAAAAGTACGGGGCGTGGATCGTGAACTCGATGGGGTTACCTTGCTCCAATCAGCCCGGGAAGAAGCCGGACCATTCCATGGAGGACATTGTGATCATCGACGGCGCTGGCCGCGTTTGGAACGAGGACGGGACCTTGCCAGCAGTGGTCCAGCAGGGGAAGACGTGCTACAACAACTACCAGCTAAAGGTTGTCAACAGGTTCTCGGGCCAGGGTGCTCTCGGCACCTACGATGCCGAACTTCGCGGTCTCGCCGCTGGCCGTTTCCCAGGCCCGAACCAGCCAAAGAAGCCGTGAGGAGCGAGGGTGGCCTTTCGGCCGCGCTCGCCTGGCGACAGCGCGGCGACGCAGGGGAGGCGGCGGGAGCACAGTAAACAGCAAACATTGCTTTTGCCTGCCTGGGGCTATCTTGTGGGCCGCCTGGGGACGCATGACGACCATCGGAAGGGCCCAGTAGGGCTTGAAGAGGGCTCCGAGAGAGCCCGAAGAGGTGCCCACGCCACGAGAGGCCCAGGGAGGCCTTGGCCAAACTCCGCCTGAAGGAGTTTGGCGCGATGCCTGCTGGTGCCCTCGTGGGGCCGGCTTTGGGGCCGTCTCTGGGGCATCTGGAGACGATCAGGGAGGGCCCGGCAGAGTGCCCAGAGGGCACCGAGAGAATTCCAAAAAGGGCCGGAAGGAGATTCGGTAAGCCTTGGGCGAAACTACGTCTGGCGGAGTTTGGCGTGATGATTGCTTTCGCCTTCATGGGGCTTTTGTGGATGCCGTCTCGGGGCTCCTTCGCAAGGTGGTGGAAACCGACTCGGCGCTCCTCTGTGACGACCAGAAACCTGTCAGGGGCTCCTTCTGACGACCAGGAAGGGGCTGTTCAAGACGCCTTGCGAGGGTCCAGTATTGATCAATGAGGGCTTGTAGTTATTTCCAAGAGGGGCCCCAAGAAAGGGTCAGAGAGCCTGGGTCAGACCCCGTCGGACGGAGTGTGCTTCATACTCGATGGTTTCTTCGGGGGGCCTTTCTAGGGGCCGTCTTGGGGCTCTCAAGACGTAGGGCGGGCTGAGAAAGGGCTCCACGAGAGCCCCAAGAGGGGCCCGAAGGAGGCTCGGTGAGGCCTCGGCCGAACTCCGTCTGACGGCGTTTTGCCTGCTGCCTGCGGGTGTCTTTTGAGGGCTCGCTGATGGGCCGCTTTGGCGCCCCTCAGGGCCCCCAGGAAGGGCCCAGCATGGCGTCAGGAGGGCTCCACGAGAATCCCGCGGGTGGCTGCAGAGGGGCTCAGCGAGCCATTGGCCTCGAAGCCATGAAGTCTGCTGATGGTCTGCCCTCTCCAGGGCCACATGTCCTCGCTCGAGGCCTGGGCGTGAGCGTGGCCTCTGCTGGCGGGGCCCTGGCGGCAGACGCGAAGGCCTCGCGGCCTTTTTTCGGGGCCTTCGCGAGGATCTCCAGGGCTGGGCCTCAGGTGCGGCTGGGACGAGCCTCAGGGTCGCTGGGACAAGCCTCTCCTCAGCAACAGCTACAGTGGAGGCCCATGCCAAGAACCACCCTGTTTGCCTCCAGGGTGCCCTGGGTTTCTTGGGCTTCGAGGGTTTAGCGATGGAAGGCGTGACGTTCCCACGCCAAAAATCAGTGGACGTCCTAGGGTCTCAGGGTTGGGTCTCTCGCGGAAGGTTTCTTGTGGACTGGCCTCCACTGTAGGTATGGTTCTGGTCTCGGCTTCCGCTGGCTCGTTCAAACGTCAGCTCTGAGCTGCCTGGGTCGCTGGCGGAGGCACCAGAGGCGCCAGGAATGGCCCCGAGGGGCTGCCGAGTGGGGTTCCAGGTGCTGCTGGTAGAGGCCTCGGGGCCGCCGTTGACAGGCCTCGGCGCTTCTGCGACAGGCCCTGGTCGGCGGCGAGTGAGGGGGGAAGTGAGAAGGAGAACGCCTTCTCAGAAGGCGGCGGGGCTTCTCAGAAGCCCTCGCGAGTTCTGAGAGGCGTTTCTGTCTTCGGGGAAGGCTCAGAAAACTTCTCAGAAGGCCGGGGGGTCTCCGAGCCTTCTGAGAAGGCCCGCCCCTTCTCACTTCCCCCCGGGCTCGCCGCCGATTTCGGGCTCCTTAGACAAGCCTCGGGGTGGCTCAGAGCACTTCCCGCAGCGCAGTCTCTCTAGTATGCTTGGATTCGGTTGGGCCAGGCGGTGGAAGGGGACTGCGACACGAGCACGCCCCAGTGCACAATCCTACGTACGGTAGGTTCGCGTCGTGTCGACCGGCGGCGACCCCGCCGAGGGCGTTCAAGGTTGAACGCCGCCAGTGGCCCAGAATCGGCTGATATGGAACGATCGGGCGGTCGAAAAGCCGCCGATCGTTCAAGGTTGCACGATTCACGCAGCGTCAGAAGCCAGCGCCGGGGTCGTCACGACACGAGCCTGCCGTGATGATCGGATTCGGTTGGAGTCGGCCTGCGGAAGGGATACCCTCCATCTTGGAAGCCAGATCGGAGCTTGAAAAGGCTTGCGCTCCACCCAGACCCCCGACGTAATGATTTTTTCATTACGTCGACCCCCAGAGGTCCCGACCCCTTCCCCAGGTCCGGTTTGTCATCCTGAGTCGTTTTTTGACGCGCCCGAGGCCCGGTGAGGGCCCCCAGAGGACGAAAATGGCGAAAAACCTCCCGTCGTGATTTTTTCATTGCTCGAGGGGGTCTGGGCAGAGCGCACTTCGCACCCCTGCCGAGGGTCTGCCCGGACTCGGCGGTGCCAGCAGGTGCGGGGAGCAGCGAGCGGTCGTGGGCTCCGCCTCGGGCTTCCAGGGTTCGAGAGGGTGCTCGGAGAGCCGGCGCGGGGGCGCGCGGGGGAGCGCAGAGGGGATGGAGAGGAGGGGAGGAGGAGGGGAGGAGGAGGAGGAGGAGGAGGAGAGGAGGAAGAGGAGGTAGAGGAAGAGGAGGGAGGTAAGGAGGGAGGATGAGGAGGTCAGAGGAGGAGAGGAGGAGGGGAGGAGGACGAGGAGGCGGGAGGAGGAGGAGGGGAGGAGGCTCAGGAGGAGGAGAGCGTGAGGAGGATAGGAGGAGGATGGGAGAGAGAGAGCGAGGAGGATGATGACCAGTGTAAACCGCAAGAGTCCTCCACGATGTTGGAATAATGTTGGAATAGCCCTCCCTCCAAGCTCCCTTTGCATGGGCCCTTGCAACGGTTCATTTCCATTGAGGGAGCTGCCTCGTTGGAAGACAGCCGTGTGAAGATTGGTCTCGGGATTCCAACGCCACGGATCGACCTGACTGTTGCATTTGACGATCCTGAATCACGTCAGAACGCCATTCTTGGGACTTCAACACTGCGAATCAACGTAATTGTTGCACCAGCAAAATCTGGGATCCTCCCAATACACAGTTTCTGGTATTGCGAAGGCCTTGCGGCCGGTGCCGCCGACCCTGAAGACGAAGCTGTCTGTGACGCCGTGAAGGCCGAAACGTCGTATATGCTAGAAATGTAAGTTTCCGATGGAAAAGTAATGAGTGTGGCCTCTTGGGCCCTTCTTGGGGGTGCTCTTGGAGGGGGCCTGGGACGTCTTGGAGGCTTCTTGGACGGTCTTGGGGCTATCTTGGGCGTCTTCGGCCGATCTTTGGGCGACTCGGGGCACTCTTGGGCCGTCTCGGGGGCCATCTTGGGCATTCGGACCTCATTTGGAGTGTTTTCGAGGTTTCGAGGCCGCCCGAGGAAAAACGAATCTGCCCCCCCACCCACCCCCCCACCCTCCCCCACCCCTGGCGGGACCCCCCCCCCCTGGGGAAGGGATCAAAGGGAAGGGGCTTCCCTTCGAATCGACAACGGCATGACGGCAGGAGGGTACGGCCCAAAAAGAAAAAAGGGGGAAGGAAGAAGGGAGGGCGGCGAGGAACGGACGAGGAAGCCCCTCGCACACGCCGACAGGGTCGGCGGATTTTGATCATGTGAATCCGCGAACTTCTTTCAAACTCTACTGCGCGGAGCTAAGGCGGGAGCAACATTCTGAAAAGGAGCCGCCCTCAATCCGTGAAGTTCTTGTAATTTGTTAAAACGAGTGTGCGCGACGCTAAGGCGAGAGCCACATTTTGAAAACGGGTCGCCCTCAATCCGTGAAACATTTGCACATGTTACAACGAATGTGCGCGGCGCTAAGGCGAGAGCTACATTTTGAAAACGGGCCGCCCTCAAGCCGTGAAGCTTTTGCAAAAACTGATATGCGCGGCGTTAAGGCGAGAGCCACATTTTGAAAACGGATCGCCCTCAACCCGTGGAACTCTTGCAAATATACATATAACGGGGGACCGGGTCTGGGGGCCAGGGGCTGGGACCACGACCACAAATGTGGGGCCAGGGCGTCGTTTTCCATATGTTTTTGCGGGGTTTCGGCGACCCGGGGCCAACAGGGCCCCAAGAGGCTGCAGGGAGGCCCCAGGAGGCCGCAGCGATGGCTCCAGACGCCTTTGAAGACGACTCCCATGACGCCAAGAAGGCCCCCGAAGGCCCCGAAAACGCCCCAAGAGGCACCCGGAGAGAGGCCGAATAAGCAAAACTCGTCGATTTCCTATCGGAAAACTTGTATTTTTTGGCGTGTTCGCCTTTTGGGCTTCCACTGCGTCCAAGACGGCCCAAGAGGCACCCAAGACTGCCCCACAGGCTCCCAAGAGGGCTCCAAGACGACCCCAAGAGGGTTCCAAGACGGCCCGAGAGGCCCCCAAGACAGCCCAAGATAACCCCAGGACGAGCCGCAGAGGGGTCCCAGAGGTGCACAACCATATTCTAATTCCGAGCTTTCGGCCCCAGAGGCTCCCAGGAAGCCCCAAGAGGTCCCCAGGAGGCCCCAAGAGGCACCCCAGAGGCCCCAAGAGGCCCCCAATAGGAGGCTCCCAAGAGGCACCCCAATAGAGCCCCAAATAAGCAAACATCGCAGATTTCCGATAGGAAAACTGCTATTTTTGGCGTGTTCGCCTTTTGGGCTTCCACTGCGTCCAAGACGGCCCAAGAGGCACCCAAGACGGTCGAGGATGCCCCCAGGAGGGCTCCAAGACGGCCCACGAGGGGGCCAAGACGGCCCACGAGACGCCTAAACCGCTCAACAACGCCCCAAGTCGGCGCCCAGGACGGGGACGAGGGACCGAAAATGCGAGCCATTTGGCCCAAGAGGCCCCCAGGAGACCCCAAGAGGCTCCAAGAAGCGCCCAAGAAGCCCCAAGAGGCCCCAAGGGACCAGCAAAAACACAGCAAGAGTCCCCGAACACGCCCCAAGGGGCACTCCAATAGAGCCCCAATAAGCAAAAACCGTAGATTTCCGATGAGAAACTGATGTATTTGGCGTGTTCGCCTTTTGGGCTTCCACTGCGTCCAAGACGGCCCAAGAGGCACCCAAGATTGCCCCACAGGCGCCCAAGAGGGCTCCAAGAGGACCC